ATAAAGGAACAGAAATCATTAAGGATCAAAGCTGGAGAGAGCAGGCTGGGTAGCAAATAGAACTGAATTAATAGCCTCATGAAAACACAAAGCTCACATGTAGTAGGCATCTGATTTTTCAGTTGAAAACAGATTACAGGCTACCCACATTTCTTGAATTATGAAAAAGTAGTTGTATTTGACTAAGACAATTTATTTGGAAAAAGAATTACCAGTATAGAAAAAAAACAAGTAAATAACAACCATTTCATAAAATTAGCACAATATAAACATTATCCAAGGCAAAAAAAAAATCATAACTAGCTAGATAAGACATTGTTCCACAAGGTAGTAACACCTCCCATCAGACAGTCAAGCAACACTCATGTGAAGAATTATTGCTAATGCAGTAGTTTGGTCTATCTGATTATTCCTTTAGTAGGCAGTTAGGGTAAACTAGAAACAAAACAAAGCCACAGAAGAATCATAAACTGCACACAGAAGATGATTTAGAGAGGGTTAATGTGCATGTCACTGTGCAATGGGAGACATGTGAAATACTTGGTGAGTCACATAGCCCAGATCTCACAGGTTATAAAGCATGAGCTACAGGAGACCAGAGACAATTCCATATGATTGTTCTAGCTGGGAAGTTCCAGGGTAAAGGCAGCTGTTTAAAATAGCATCCTTACCAGAATTAGCCCATCTCTAGCAGGGTCAGCTGTCTTTATGACATCTTCAATAGGCCACCAACACTGGTTCAAATAAACTGCCAAAACTACAGAAAGACAAAGACGGGGGAACACATTACCTGCAAATAAATGCAAAGTTGGCTCTGAACCTTTCCACAAGCAGCCTCAGATTTACTTCTCCCTCCAACAGACTCCACTTTGATCTGCTGTGAGACTGCAGAACAACAACTGTATTTCAGTCTCATCTCCATGTCCCTTGATACCCAGTTTTCAGTACTGCACAAGGCATCAAGTGAAGGTCATCATCAGGAATTGATGTGACTTCGGTGTGACAACCAGTGTGCCATATGAATGAAGCACTTCCTGCATATCTGTTCAGTAGCACAGTAAGTTTGAGTGGCATTTGGGACAGAGAGAGCTACCTAGCTGAAGGTTATGGTTTTTAAGTAGCTTTCAGACTTTCCCCTGCCCACCTGCATACATGCCCATACTTGCACTCACGCAGATCAAGCACAGAAGTTTTCATATCCACTTTATCAAATAGCTTTTCAGCTGCCTATGTGACTGAATTTCTACAGAATGCTACCTTCAGAGTAGAGACTCCTAAGTCTCTGCATGAACAGATATTCACAGAAGTTAAGGTGCATACAGAGAGGTTTCTACCAACCAAGAACAGACATACACACACATAAGATACAATTTGCTCAGAAAAAAAATTGTATGACAAGCCAAAAAGTCAAGTCCTTGTGTAGGTGCTATGCAAAGCTTGCACCCCACTTCTTCCCATCCTTCCTGAATTCTTCACATATGCAGAAACAAGTATTTGAACCCTACTCCTACATGTTCAACCATGGAATTCATTGCCTGCCATTAGATTTATGAGAGAAATCCTGAAGCAGCAATGGTGACACTGAAATTGCTCCCAAGCCCTGTTTAGAAAGAAAAGTTTCAACTCAGGGTCATTTCAAATGATATAGAATAGATTTTAAGATTTTTTTTTAGATTAGGTTTTAGAATAAACACAGAAACTGACCACCTACACATCAAGCAGCAAATATTTCAGCAAAAAGAACAGTATTATTCATACAGCAGTGACATCCACCTAAAGAAAGTACATAGCCACCATTTCAGGATTGCTCAAGAACACGAATGACTTTTCTATCTTCAAATAGGGCAGCTAGCATTCCCATTTTTAGACAAAAAGATAAAATATAACACAGAAAGTACGTTGCAAACAACAGCACAGAGTTCAGAACTCTCAAGTCCTAAGAGTGCACTGTCTACTGAGCTACCCAACCAGGGATAAACATAAGAAAGTTCAAAACCATCTCTGAGCTAGAGACAAATTCACACACAAGGAAGTGAAATGGTTTTTATAGGATTCATCATTTACCTGGGTTAGCCTCAAGGTTATACAAATGTCACAGGTGCACACGGGCTAGTTCCCTTTTTGCTTCAGCCTCTACCAGCTCCCACTGGCTTTAAGGCTGGAAATTCCGCTTAGCGAACTTATATTTCAAATAAATTATTGAAGCATGTGCCAAAAAGCTTTGTGTACTAGGCTAACAATGAAGAAAGTATTGCACGCAAGGGCAGATGCCTGTTTATAGCACCAGATTCAATTCATTAAATGTTATGCACTTACTTGCATGGGAGTTTCATACTCTTCTTGTGATGGTTTCAATCTGTTCCCTCAATCCCTTCACTGCTTTCAAATGCAAGCAGCCAGTGCTCCATTGCACATCCATGGAACATGCAGCTACAAAGGGAGCTGAGTCAGACAAAGGGGGCATAATGGGCCTAACACTGACTTCAGTGGGAGCTGCAGAGAAGTTTGGCACAAAGTTCAGGCATGTGCAACACACAGTGAAGGTCAGAAAAGTTTTTTCAATCTTTGAGCAAAAAAAGAAGATGCATAACCATGCTCAAAGGAGCTACTTTTACAGAACATGTACTGTGCTGTTCAATAATTTAAATGTGTGGAAGGGAACACTAGTTGACATAGCAACTGTCACATCACATTACTTGAGCAACCTTATCTATATGGATGCCTTCCTTGAAGGAAAAACATTCCTCCAGATTTCACACAAACATATGTACTTTGCTTTTTGTTATATTTTTTTAAGTCAACATCTGGTCCGCAGTTAAAACCATCCATGCTTCCCCACATTCTCATTTTCATTTTATAATCAAATTTGAAGAACACTATTTCAAATTCAAATATGTTCTGTGAGACCACGTTTTCCTTCACTCTCCAAGTCTTGTTCTTTCCAAGACTTTTGGTTATGTTCACCTGATCACAGGAGATCAAGTTATTGCCAATAGTAAGTTACACACATCACCTGAACCCTGTGAGTCATGATGTGATTACAATGATCTTGCAACTGCAAGACTGGGTGAAATGGATTAAGTCCAATATATTTCAGTTCACAATTAGTGGAGAATATACATCCTCAGATGGGCAGCCTGTCCTGTGAGCACTAGCTTGCTAAACCTCAGGACTTTGATCACTTGCAGGCAAACACGCTCAGCAAGAAGCTGAGAGCCTGTGAAGCACACGATTCCACACCACCACGTGTATTTGGAACACAGGACTGAAAAACACTGAGTTGAATTAGGCACTAAGCACAATGCAGTTGTGATTGTAAAACGTCTCCTTTTGCTGGGTAAATATGGACTCCTTCCCAGCCCAGGTCTGGATTGTATTTTTACTTTCTAGGCTATGATGGCCAAATATTCCCACACTGGTGTGCAACTATTTGAATGAAATGTGCACATCAGGACTCTACACATGGAGTAAAGAAAAATTAAAACAACATCCAGCTTGGTATTTCTTTTTCCCAGCCTTGGTCTGAATTGCTGTGGCACATCCTTTAGTCACAAACTAAATTAAAGGCAGTGCTATATATGAGACATATAATCTGGGTTTGCTTAATAAATATAGAAAGTACCAGTTCTTTACCTTAGCTAAAGTAATCCATATCTGGGATTGACAGCACACTTGCAGAGGCTGCTTTTGCTACATTTCCACCTTGCAAGGAGAACAGTAAATTACCCCAACAAGTGGTTCCACACAACAGAGCCCAGGTCAGCTGTGACAATGGAGCAAGCTCAGAGACTCTACATTAAACTGTGTTCCGTGACGTTGGTGTACCCTGAATAGCTTTGTCCCCCCGTTCCCTGTCTTGAAAATAGAACAAGAGCATTTTTCTCTCTCTCTCCTAAGAGTCTTATCAAAATAAATACATTAAAGCTGGGGAGGCATGCAGATGCTGCAGTAATGGCAGCCATTCAAGTATCTAAGATAGATATCTTTCCTGCAACCAATTACATTTTCTTCTGCGATTCAAGTTTTACTCAGTGATTTGTTGCAAATGTCTTGTGATAAATGTTCCATGGCATCTAACAGTTATTGTAAATTATTATATACAGCACACAGAAAATGCCACAATGGGGTCTGTTTATTTAGTGTTATAAAGATGTTAATCACCCATGCTATGCTCTGTAAGCCCTTACAACACAATTTACATTCTCATAAAAATATCTGTGCAGATATACTAACAGAACAGAACACTCAGCCCCTCAAAAATAAATTAAAAGTGCTCCCAACCAAGACCAAGTCCTGTGGAAAAGCTACCATGTCTATTTTCTCTTTGAAATATGCAGGTCATTTCAGACCACAAGCTACAGATCACTTCTGGGCAACCCATCTGATCAAGATGATCAGATATAAATCTCTGTGTTGGTATCAACGCCCCTTTAACCTCTGTTCAAGAATGAAGAGCTATCAAACTTTAAAGATCTTCACAGGAAAACTTGTAGCTAGGCTTCTAAATTCAATATTTTTCCAGACTCTAAATGATGAGAATTTCAAACATAAATCATTAGATTGACAATATTTTCTTTGGAAACTGTGGGAAAATCAGTATATTAAAGTGGATATTACTTCAGGAGTCTTACACACATCATTTTACCTATGCAATACTCAACAGTTACAGATGCCAACACATGAAGCTGAAAGAGGAAATGCCACCGCATCTGAACACTAAGACATACAAGGTGTACCACTTCCTCACGAGACTGAAGTCCTGCCCAGGGGTGTGGTTAACCCCAGCAATTGTCAAGGCTTTGCACAGAGCTCCTTTTAAGGGGTGAGGGATGTTGGGGAGCCACCAGGAGCGAAGGTGGATAAGTTGGAGTGAAGCTGAAGGTACTGTTGGTGTCAAGGAGAGAGATGGAGAACTAAACTGAAAAATTTTATCCAGGGTTTTGGCAGTCACCAGTCAGTAGAACCACCAGAGCACAGGCAGTTGGTGGCTCTTGGGATCAATATGTTACAGTCTCAGAGCATTGTGTAAGCTGTGGCAAAACCAAGCAATGAGGATTCTAACACTTCTTGCTGCTTCACTATCCTCACCAGGACCTGAGAAGCCCACAACTAAACATGCTCTACACATTTATTAGCTACATCTTCTACTCTGTTTCCACTTGCTTCTCAGTAAAGCACCTCTACACCAGGGCACCCCAGACACCCCTGGCTGCCTTACCTCATTGCACTTCAAAAATGGCCAAATAATTTGCAAGAGGAAAAATCAGGGGGCCATGTTTGCATTAGCAAGACAATCACTAACAAAACAAAAACAGAGCAAAACATTTGGTGCAGAGAACCTGATGTTCACAAACTTTAGCCTGATGCTGAAAACTGAAAGCCTATTAGAAGTTGGGGCACAACAGTGTGCCTGTAGACTGCAACCTTTAATTTAATTTCAGCCAAAAGTAATCCAGTTCATGCACTCTGAGACTGCTGCTTGATATCAACTGAAGCTCAGTACGTGGGGACAACAAGGAAATTTGCTTCTAAGAGCACTCCTGGTGTGAAGTTAAGCTAAAATGCAGACATGCTGGACAGTACATGAGAAAGAGAAGAGATCAGCTACAGCAAGATTGTTTGTCTCTCCTCTCTAGATTAAACTTGAGCTGACAAGGGAAGTGTAAAGCTCAAGGGAGGTTAAAAAAACCCAAACCAACATGCAGCCTGTTTAGTGGTTTAACTTTCTTCCCGTGTCCTTAAGTAACGATGACTGAGTTAATAAATATTGCTTTTCTCTGAAGGAATTGGTTTTGAAACAATTTGATCTGTTCACTGGTTAGAACAAAAGGTCATCTAGGTAAGCAAATCCAGATGGACCTGCCACATTAACACAGTCTGTTGCCTTAAGAGTCAATTCCAAATCGGTTGAACTGTGGGAAAAATATTTGGTACTAAATTCTTCCAGTGTATATACCCATACACATAGGTATGCACACACACATACACACGCCTCAGCAGACTTTAAAGAACTCATGAAAGTTTATTAAAATCCATCTAAACAAAAAAATCCCATCAATCAGATTTGATGTGTGTAGGAAGGCTGGCCACGAGGCTATAGCATATAAAATCCAGAAACAAAGAAATTCCAGTAAAATCCTTTAAATCATACTTTTAAAAGGGCATGTTAAAAGCCAGAAGATGTAGACCTTACTGAAATAACTAGACTTACTGATGCCTGTGAGGCTGTTCCTGTGACTACGAGCTGGTGACTCAAGCTGAGGTGCTGAAGGGGGTCACAGTAGTCAGTCAGCCTGTTGTTTGTAACATAATAAGGTGTTTATTCTGCTCGTTTAAGCTTTTCATGCAGATAGCTATCATATAATTTAGGCTTCAACATGGACTTGTTTGACATGTTCCTGTGGGAAATCATTTCTTCCTTGTGTACACGTATCTCATTAATACTTGTTGTTCCTAATACTATTAGATGATTTAACTAAAGGTTTGTGCTAAATGCAATACTTTCACCTGCATTTATTTAATACCCCTTTGGTTTTACACTGTAGTTCTTGCAGATCTCCATTCCTCTTGTGCAGCCTAAACTAACTTAATGCTGTTTTCAACCACATTCCTTTGCACGTGAGTCAGTAGATAGTGCACAACTGCACTCAGAGAGCAAAGCTGGCCTCCAGTGTAGGCACCTCTCTCCTGTATCACACCAGTGCCTACCTCTCTTCAGAAAAATGTTAATGGAAGATAGAAATTAATGGCAGGAAAGTAATTCTATATCAATAGTTTTAGAGGGACTAGAAAATCTTTTGGCTACACTTGTAACTTGGAAAGGTCTCTTACTTTCAGCTATGTGAATCACAACCCATTAGCAAACGTCCAATTGAAATTGTAGGTAAAAGGAACTGGAAAACTTTGCAGAGTTCACCTCTAACCACAGATTATTTTAATCTGTTTTTTGTTCTTATGAAGAAATTTCCTGGTGTCAAGGTTTAGGGTTGGGCTGGCCACTAGACGAATGACAGATGCTCTCTATTAATCCCTCACCCTTCCCAACAGAGGGAAAGAAAGGAAATAAGGGAGAGAGAGTTATGGATTAGAAAGCTCAACTAAAACGGCTTTAATGAAAATAATAAAGTGAAATATATACAAAGTCAATACCAAACCAAACCCCCTGATGGCAATCACGTCACCATCACCACTGGTGCTGCAGGCAGGCACTGAGGAAGTTCCAGATTGGACTTAGTGGCAGAAAGGAATGGGATTCAGGAACACACAGATCAGGATCCAAAGCAGAACAGTCAGAGTGCTCCTCAGACACCAGCCACTGAAGAAGAGAAGTCGGCCCTCGAGATCCCTCGGCTTTATAGTGAATATGACATACATGGGATGGACTCCCTCAATCCCTCACTGGCCAGTTGAGGGGCTGCTGTCCAGGCCACTCTTCCCTGCAGGTGTGGCCTTTTACTTTCTGCATCCCAACATGGTGCATTTTATTTAGCAGTGACTTTGGTCTGCACAGGAGGAAGCATAAACAGGAATCTTTCTGCACACACCAGTCCTTGGTATTAACTCTGAACATTGGGCATTATAACTGCTAGAAGGAGACACTGTCTGTTAAAATCTGCCATTAACTTCAGAAAATGCAGTTAGAAGAGCTGAAAAGGAAAATCACTGAACAGAATTAGTTCTAACTCAAACCAGGATACATGGCTACAGGATTTGGACCCAACAATGAACACTTAGACTAATAGCACCTGTTCTGGAGTGTAGGATTGTTACCTGACACATTTTAGAACTGAACACAGAGTGCTAAACTGCTTTTCCTTGCCTTTGTTGTATTTTCAAGAACACTGGCTGTTAAAGCCTTTCAGTTATAATTTATAGCTTATCCTTTAAAAGAAAATATGTTTTTAATGACAGATGTCATCAGTTTGCTGCCACATGTGGAAGCTGAAAGTTTAAGAGGTTTCACGTGTATTCCCTAAGTGACACAATGGATCAATGCACAAGTTCATGTCTTTGCTGTAGATGTTCCAAAAATTCTACAGTCCATTGCTTCACAACAGCTCCAACACTCCTCATTTAATTTAGGTGGGTCACAACCTTGCTTTTGGTACTATGCAACTTGGAGTCAAGTTAATGGCACTGGTATCAAGAGTTGTTACTTATTTTACATTTGCATTTTTTCACACCCCAATCAAAGGCACTTGCTTAACAGAGTAAGTAGGCAGAAATGAGGCTGTGTCTGAAGATACTGAGATCCTGATAGCAGGAAGATAAAACTTGATACAATTACTGGTCAAATCTTAATAACCTGTTGATACTCTAAGCAATGACTCACGAAACTGAAACTCTAGTAAACACATGCTGACTTCTACTGCCTGCAACACAGTGGTTGTGTATCCCTGTCAGGCTGACACGGCTGTAGTAGGAAAACGCCAGCATTTCTAGCACTAAGCAAGGAAAAGCTGGTAGAGTTTAAAGAAAACTGCCAAATAAAATGGATTTAACTCAATTCCCAAGCATGGTTTCACTCCAGATTTACCCCTCACACACCAGTACTGAAAATAGGAGGCAATTAAACCAAGGACTGAAGAAGATATAAAGCAAAAATAATACAAAGGAGAAACAGTAAGACCTAATACAATTTCACATATATGCTTGCTCTTGTTTAAGGATTTCAGAATTCTATTCAAACTATAATGAATTAAATTTCATATTATACTGAATTATCCCATTGAACAAACTCAGAAAGAATAACAGATTTACCCAAGGTGATCCTCCACCTACCAGCAGAGCTGTGTGTAGAATTCAAAAGCCCTGATTGTCAATCCTCCCTTCTAATCAGTAGCCCACCAACACAAGCCCCTGACAGGTAAACTGAATCCACTTCAGATTCAAAACAAAACCCAAAATATTTAAATATATAAACATGCAGAATATCTTAAAAGGAAAGCAAGTACAAGTACTCAAATTTCAAAACATTTTGACCAATTCTAACCTGTCTCTTTATCCTTTGGATCAGTTAACAGCAACACTTTGCAAGTAGGATTATTTCGGTAGAGAGGGACAAAACACACACAGGAATCTTCAAGTTTAACCTAAAAAACAAACAAGCCCTGTAGCTGTTTGTGCTGCAAAGTTCATGAGAAGTATTTCATGTACTAGATGCACTTATGATCCGTTTTACTAACACGCGTGGTATAAGCTTAGCCCAGCAACCTCTCAATCCTGAATTGCAAGGCACTGAAACATAGATAATATTCTAAAATTATCAGTAAACAATGTTAATTTAAACGAAATCAAGCTACCAAAGTTAGGGAAGAGCTTAATACTGACTTACTGTGATTACTACATAACCTGGCTTTGAACATGCAGACAACTGGTGTTATGAAAGACCAGACACATCAAATAAAAGCAAATACAACTCGCACTTCTTACAGCATCGTCCAGCTGAGCACTTGTGGTGTTTTGCAAACAATGAATTAAGCCTCAGGGTAGAGGGAGTATCAAAGCACTAGGGCAGTGCCCAGGCAGTTTATCTTGGAGGCACAGGGAGGGTAGATAATTGGCACAAGGTGGTTATATTGCAGGCAAAACTAAAATCAAAATGCTGCTCTCAAGCTCTCAGTCTTAGGCTAAACTTCTAAATGATGTGACACAAACACAAAATTACTGTGCTCAAGCAGCTCTGTATGCACAGAGATGACGATTTCCATATGAATATTGCAAAGGCTCTCATGTAAGTTTAGGTGCAGGCAAAGAGCGTGCATAATTTAGCACAGTATGTACTGTACTTTCAAAAATCTGGTCCATTGTGTATGTGTGGGTGTGCCTCGCTCTCTAATTGCACCCATTTGTCAGTTTGCTATGAAACTCAAATCAGTCATGTGATCCATTTAATATTTCTTGGTGCGTGGAAGAAGTAGTATGAATATGGATTATTGAAGAGAAGAAGTTGGAACTGGCATTCACTGGTTTATGAGTGTCAGAATCCTGGGATCATCTATGCAAACACTGGACACCAGGAAAAAAAATAAAAAGAAAAGAAAACGGCCTGAAATCTGTATTGATGAGCTTCCCAAAACCTCAGGACGTTCTGGGGATTTGGGGATTCAGTCATTCTATGCATGCTTCAGATGTAAGAGCATGGATGTCGTTATGGGGCACACGGGAGCATGGCTCCAAAGGAAAGGCCAGCACTATTTCCAACACTGCCGGGGCTGTTGTTTTGGTTTACAAGGTAATGTGGACATTCACAGGTGCTAACACAGCCAGCCTGAGCCAAGCACAGCTTCCTTCCAGCCCAGCTCCCAATAATCCCTGTTATTTGTGTGCTGGATGCTTGACCAAAGCCCTCCCATACCAAAAAGAAGTTCTGTGACCCCAGCAAGTGGGCTGACAGCCACTTAACACTTGCTAAATAATTATTCACGGTTGCCAGTCCTGCCACTTGAAACCTGCTTTAATTCAGCCCTGCAGACTGCAGCCCTTATCCAAACACCCAAATCCCCATCCTTCGGGTGTACAACAGAGATCATCAGCTGGGGCCTTCACTAGGGATGGGAGCTTTACCTTATTGCATTTAATTTAATTACAAAATATCAACACTCTTTGAGCTATTTATTATAGAGTATAAGGAAAAAACAATACAGCAAGAACATTACCATTACTTATGCCCTTGACTAGCTGTCTGACTGCAGATTAGATTAGACCTGAATTAAATGAATGCAAAGAGAAATGTGTTGCTATGAGACTCAAAGGAGTCATGTGATACATTGAAGGTCTGATGACAAGCCAGAAAAGCGAGACAGATCTGAATCAAAAGCCAGAAGTCCACCTTCCACTGATCTCATTGTGTCTAGCTACTGCAGGAACACACACTGCACTGTTTGGGATTTTAATTTACCCTCCCTTCTAATGGAGCAACAAATGAGCCTCTAAAAGTGCAACCAGGCATGAAAGTCTCAGGTAAAGCCAGGGAACCCTAAACTGGGGGATCTTTGCATTTTCAGATTTGTTTGTATTTAACCCTACAGGGTCCACTAGAGGGCATTAAAAGAGTATTAAAAGCTGGTTACATTCACAGCTCAAAGATGAAGCCACCCACCTGAAACTGCTTTTTTTCTAGAAACTACCGCATATTATTTTCCTAAATAGTAGAAAAGCCACTGTATTCCAAACATTTATTTCAACTAACCCACTTACTGGTTTGATAGTGCAGTAACCGTTAGGTCAGCACACCTTCTATGATCTAGAAAATGCCCAGAATGAAAGGTTTCCTAGGTTGACTGAAGTCAGAATTTTTAATAGACCTGCTCAGTCATCCCAATGCATCTCCCCCCAGGTGGCTCAGGAATGGACCCTAAAGCACTAGCACCTACAGTTTTTATACTGTCTATCGATCCCATCTGATCAGAATTCCTTTGGGAGAACCTATATTCAAAATTACCAGTCTAAGTACTGGAAAGAAGGGAACCAAAAGATAGGCTGTTACAATAACTGGGTAAACTCCATAGTAGAGGCAGAGTACAGCGCTGTGGCGTGGTGTAAACATCTATCAAATTCACCTGATACAGTCCTGTAAGCAGGCAGGATAATATGCAAAGCTCAGCTGAGTATTTCACACCCTCATCCACACTCAGAGGGTTTTAAACTTGTCATTTAAACTTGTCTCCCATTTGAAGCGTTCAAACTGTTTGACATAATGCAGAACGTGCTGATTTTAAGAGATTTGTGATTCGGCCACACCAGTTTACCAGTATTTACAGACAGACTTTGAGCACAACCAACAAACTAGTTTACAAGTTTCTAACTTGCAGTATGAAAAATATCAGCCTATTACCTCTTCTCTTCCAGGGATCGAAAAAACATCCGGAGTGGACGATGATTTCTTCAAGAGTTTTTCATAGTACATTTCAGCATCTGCTTGCAAAACTTCTGGATCTCCTGCTAATGTATCTACCAAGTAAAGGCCACCTGTAGTTAAAATAAAACATAAGATATTTTTATTTTTTAAATTATCTAAGAAACATGAATGTTAAAACCCGTTTCCCCAGCAGCTACTTGGTGTAGCTGGACCCTTACTGTTTCCATTAGAGCTTTTTGTTTAATCCTAATCTAAAGTAATAAGGCCAGTAAAAAAAAAAACTACCTATACATTATTTACCTCTTGACATGCAATTTTACAAAGTAGAACCATGACAACATCAAATCACATTTGTCTCCTTTGAATTCAACAAGCCCAGTCTCAGATTTCTCTCAGTGTAAGTAAATTGCTTTAAAGCTAGAAGAGCAAAAAAAAACTTCAGAACACAGCCTGAGTTTTGGTCCTGTCCAAAAATACAACAGGAAAAGAATTCCAAAGCTTCCACTCTCTCTTGGAAGACTGCCCCTTTATGGGTCAGTCCATCTCTGTTGTTTATCATTAGTTTTCTCTTTCTCTTTTTTGAGTAACTTCAATTGGGCACTTTCACAACAATGAAATAATGTCAAAAAATATTTACTTACATAAGAGTTCCTAAAATAGCAACCATCATCTTCTATGCAATGTAACTTTTAATCCATGTGACTCAATGGTGAAGGGTATTCATGCAAGGTATTTGCTAACTGTGTTCAGACAAAAATTGCATACACCTAGTGCCTGTTACCTAAAGGCCAAGTCCAAGAGGGTGCCCGTGAGGACCAAGAAACCTCCTTCTGGTAAAACAAACCAGAATGATTGGTGTCTCACCACTGGCTCAAGACAAACAGCATCAGAAGAAATAGGTTAGCAGTCCAAACAGAGTTCTGCCAGTCATCCTAGACTAGGAAGAAAACAGTTCAAATTTAAGGGGCTTTCAATCAACCAGCTACACCTGCAACTCTTGTAAGCCCCAAACTGAGGACAAAATTTCTACTGGACTGATGTAGTTGGAATCTTAGTTCTGAATCCTCCATTTTTAATCATGATTTGCTCTCACGTGGCAGCTCCTTTGAGCCAAGTTTAATGTGAAATAACTGCAGTGATAGAAAGTGCAAAGTAAGCAGCCAATACAATGAACAGTCTTGTGAGGGCCATTGCAAAAACTGTCTATATTAAGATTCAGAAACGATGAATCATAAAAGTGGCATATTGAAAATCATGCTTTTCCCTGTAAAAGTAGAAACATGGGCTTTGCAGTACAGGGTCAGAATGTTCACCCATGGTCCTACCATGCTCCCTCTGGCAGCAATCAGTATCTTATTCCTCAGCAAAAAAGTAAGAATCTACAACTGATAATTCACCACCACCCAGCCGCTGCTTAAAATGCTTTAAAGGCTGTTTTCCTGCCCTTTGCAGGCAATCAGCTTACATCCCCAGGCTTGACAGCAAAGCTATGTAGTCAGAATGCTGAACAGAAGCTACTCTGTAAATGGTTTTCATAGTGTGTTTGTATGTGACAAAATGGGAGAGAAAACAGCATTGCAACACTGGCAAGTTGAGTCACATAATCAAATCCCAGCCAGCACTTAGCAGTGGCAGTTCTCTCCTGCAGCAGCCTTGCCCAGCACGCTCTGTAACACCAACAGGCAAAGAAACCACATAAGGGAAAGAAATTCAAGGTTATTATTAAAAATTTCAGTAATTTACTGAAGTAAATTTACTAGTAAATTAATTCTTTGGAATAAAAGCAGCATATAAGACTTAAGTTTAGCACAAAGGAAAATATTGGCCGTGCTAATAAATACTGTTCATGAGATGCTGCTTACAAGGCTACATCCTGTCGTTGGTAAACCAAGGCAACTTATTAATCACAATCATGTTTTCTCCTTACTGAACAAAACAACTAGTGCTTTCAAAGTTACACTAACTTCGTGGTACATAATATGTTTGTATTTTAAGGTATTTTAAGGTAATGGTGACCATTTGAACGATGAAATAATGTCACAGATTTAAAAATGAGGCATTAGAGAAAACTTCTGATCAACTTGCCATTTCCATGGCACACAGCTTTCCATGGAAGCCTGGGGGTTTTTTTTTCCCCACTCAAAAAAGCTTTTAAACTTCCAGTTAACTTAAAGAAATCTATCTCAGCTTCTGTATAAGGGGGGGCAGAAAGAGAGAGAGAGAGAGACTCCTTTAGAGACAACATGGAGCAGAAGACTAACTTTAGGTAGTTAAAATAGTGTCCTGTAGTGTCCTCAAGAAGCCTGTTTTCTGAAGACTGGCTTTTGTGAACATCATCCCAGAGCTTGCACACACATGCACATAGCACTAATACATTAGTTAATGTGTTTCCCAGTTTTCCCCAGTAAAAAGTGAAGAAATTATATTTGCCCTCCTGTATATGTCCTTTCTATGCTTTTATTTTGTACACAGAAACAACAAAAAAAAGCCCTTGGCAAAGTCTAATCATAACTATTGTTATTAGGTATTTGAATAATTATTCATGGCTAACAGGATGTTATAAAGGTTCCAAAATCAAATGCAAAATAATTTGCTTTAAAAGAAAAGCAGCACTGATGTCCTGTGAGTGCTTCAGTCTGAGGCCCCTTATCAGCATCTTGGGGTACCAAAACTGTAATGTTCCAAGGGCAGCCTTTTAACCTTATTTGAACCACAGGATTTCATTCAAGTTTGATCTTACCTAGTGACAACAAAAGAGCACATTGTGGCAGCCAATCTGCCACTCGCCCAGCCAGCCCTGCTCTCCACAGGGCCGTGCACAAAGGGTTACCAGCTGGGGGGTAGGGAGGGAGAGGGGGAGCGAAGGGGGGCAGGAGGAGTGAGTCATAAAAAGGGGGCCTCTTGCTGCAGCCACAGAGGAGGGACCATAAACCATAAGCAGAGTAAATTTAGAACGGGAGGCCTCCTGCATTAGAGGGATTCCTGACATTCGTGCTGAAGTGGCTGCCACCTCCAATAGCCAGCGCTGGCGAACAAGGTCAGGGCAGCAATGACAATGAACGTTCACAGACAGGTCCCAGGCTTTGCCTTTTACAGGGAACCAGCACCCGGGGCAGAGGAGAAGGAGGTATTTGCAATTGCACTGAAAAGAACTTATCTGGAGGTAAATAAACGAGAAATCTGAACAGGCATGTTTCCATTTCAAGCATACAGAATATATTTTAAAGCAAAAACTAACACTGCTTCTGCTTCTCCTCTCTTTTGTTTCCATGGAGCAGTCTGGGCCAGATTCTCAAGCAAGGATGTGTAAATACATCTCATCTCACTCTAGTGATCTGTCATCAATTTGCAGGAAGAATCTGATTTTTAAAATGAAAAGCTACAGCTAAAACCAGCTATACAAGCAAGCACTGCCCATAAATCTCAGTCATCTTTATGAGATGCTACCCTCCAGAACCTATAGGTACCTCAGCCTAAGACACCACGCAGCTCTGCCAATAAGGCATAAACCAAGGCCCCCATTTCAGTTCTAATCCCTAAACTCAGCTTTTTCTAAACCCACTGCTATTCCACTTCTGATCTTCTCCAGGAGAGAGAGCTGCGCTTTATGGTGGTTTCATGAAATGGACAAATATCCTCCCTTAAGAGGTAAAAGTCAGACAAAGCTCACTTCTGATCCAAAAAGATCAATATGTGAGAATCCAGATAGTCCAATTAACACGTTTATGTTCTGCATCAGGTAGATAAATAACAAATGCAATCACAAATAGAAGGCAACAGTCTATCTTAAACTGGAAATTTACTTTTGTAGATTAGAGACAGATCCACATCATTACTGATTCAGCAAGAATTTAATTCTACCAGATAAAGTAAGCAGGAAATATTTCTCCATGAGCAAAAGAATTTATTCTAGATACAACAGAAAACACATGGTGCACATGCTTGTATGTGAAATTCTGCAAGTGAAACTACAGACTCCTGTAATGCCCAGAGGTAAATGACATGCTTCAATCTAATCAGATATTCTGAAGATTCGTTTTGATGATCCTTCTATATCCTCTGCAACTAAATCCTGTGCCATAATAGAAATAATATAACCAGAATATAGATAACCACAGGCTTATCTCATGAATAGAATGCTACAGCAATTCAAATCCCCATTACATCCCTCAAGCTCTCTTTCACTAGACTAGTCATTTTAGTACCTATGTATTAGTTTGACTGTTTTGCCATTATCTAACAGATTACAATTTGGGGCATTCAATTCTCTCTCTTTGTGAAGGTATTTTAAATACTCATTTAAGTTTCAAATTATATGCCAATATACTTAAGTCCTTTTTAACCATGAACCCAATACACAATTTATTAAACAAAGAGATACACGCTTCCATTGTTAAGAATTTTCTACTCCTGCATTCATGAGTAGCTTATTAATACTTAATAAGCTTAGTACTTAGTTAATACATAAGACAACCCAGTTGGTGATGTGTTCTTCCCAGACTAGACACACCGTTGGGTTAAGATGCACTGAGGTATTGCTGGTGCTCCCAGGGAAGACTTAGTTGCTGAAAAGCCCATTTCAGAGATTTGTAAGGGCATTCAGGATGCAGCCAGATTGTGAAGCAAAATACATCAACCTCACTGTAGATGAAGCATGAAAAGTGTTATGTCTGGAGTGAATTAATCATTTATCCTACAACTACTTTTTCGTGTTCTACAGACACAGAGGATGATCCTACATGCATCCATTAAGAACTGTGTGTTTACAGAAGAGCCATCAGTCACCACAGGGTTTGTATCTGGACTGTGTATCTTTGCACCTTTCTGCAAATTTATGCATAATTTTACGTTTAAAAATATGAAAAACACTTAGGTCTGATTTCTAACAGTACGGAAAGAAGAGACATAAAAAGAACTTAACATTTCTAACTTGTGAGTCTCATTCTTTTCTGTTCAGTTTCGCCATTCCTGACGCTTGCAACTGCAGGACTGGTTTTATTTATCGGCTTTATTTTCATGCCAATATATTTCACAATTAACAAAAACCCAACCAACACTTCAGCAGGTTTTAAGTGTTTCTGACAGTATTGTGAGGGTTTTTGTCCAAGAA